AAGGTCGAAATGAATCCCTAAACTTGTATGTTATGCATTTTAACATTGAAACTCTTTAGGTTAAAGGGTTAGAGTAAGTCGTTACAATTTTCAATTCTAACAAGTGGATTAAGGAATAGAGAATACCACTTAAAACTCACATTCTCTCTAAAGCCACCTAAGACTCTAGTGGATGCCTTACTAATCCTTGAGAAGTATATCAACAATGAAGCTACAATTAAAAACAACTGATATAAGAAAGGCCTATCCCTCTTCTTTGCTCATGAAAGAGAAAAAAAATTTACGATCCCCAAAAAAGAAAAATAATATAAAGGTACCTTATGGCTAGAAGCTTAAGCTGATAACATAGTGATTATACTGTACTAAATACCTCTCGAGAAAGGATTCTGATACACATTGAAAGAGATCATAAACTTATATGGTCACAACCATTGAGGCAGAATACTAAAAGAGATATTTACAAAACATGTGCTTTTCATAAAAATTACAGCCACAACACTGAAAATTGCATCGACCTTAAAAATAAAATTGAAAATTTGATCAGAAAAGATTGACTAGGCAGGTTTGTGGATCGAAAAAGATATGGGTAGGGGAGAAGAGATTTCACAAGAAGAGATCAAGAAGAAAGGACAAGATGGAACCAAGAAAACAAAGGCAAGAAAGAAAATCGAATTGGTGGCAACCAAAAGGTCGAGCAAGAAGAGGATAAGGGGAACAATGTGGATAACAGGTCCATTGTAGGTATAATAAATGTGACCACTGAAGGGATTTTAATGTTGGCCAAAAAGAAATTTGATCAAGGACAATGATGGCCATTAGATCCTCGACCAAAAATAGAAGAGCTGGAAGGATAAGCCGATCTCTTTCACTTTGGAGGATTTATAAAAAAATCCAATTCCTACATGATGATGTCATTGTCATTTAGGCCATGGTTTATAATCATGTTGTGAAAAAGATTTTGTTTGATAGTGAGAATTGACGTTCTATATTATGCGATAATATTGAGGATAGGCATAACAGAGAAAATGTTGAAGCCATTCACCACTACTCTGATCAACTTTGGGAATGAACAAATGCTAGTTAAGGGAACTATCAAGCTGTCAATCTCATTGGGTACCTAGCCAAGGTGTGTTACCTCAATCATCAAATTTATGGTGGTAACTGTCCCATTTGCTTATAATATGATATTAAGCCGACCTAGTCAATTTATTATTAGAATCATTGGCTCAGATTCTTATCTGAAGATCAAGTTTTTAATGTCTAATGACATTGAAAAAGTTAGAGGAAACTGTAGACACTTCATTTTGTTTGAGATTTTTCTGGGTTAAAAACGGACTTTCAACCATTAATTGGGCTCAATTAAAAGCTTTGGGTCTGATAAGAGAATTTTCAATTTTAATTTGATTTGGTTTGATTTTACTTGTTTTCCGAAAATAAAATTAAAAAAATAATTAAAATAGAAAAATAAAAAAAATATAATACTATTATGGAATAAGTTCTGAATTTATTGGAATAATTCTCGGTGATTCAATCTCGAATCTGTTAGGCGTATTTCATGCTGATGACCAAGCATATACAACCGACAATGAGGAGCAAATAATGGAGAGAAATCATGAAGGGATCGGTTTTGAAGGCTCATTTTTTTCACTAACTTTTTTAGCTAAAAAGAAAAAGAAAAAAAAAATAGATGTCAAGAAAATTTGACTCCAACAGCAATAGCAGAATCTTCTTTACTTCTTGAAAGGAATCGAATGCTAAGTCCACCTTTCTGGAAGTAGATTCTTCTTTAAAAACCCTTTTCTTTTAACTTCTGAGTTTGCCACAGAGAGCTTTGTTAAGCGCATAGTCATCTGAATATCTGGCATATGACATTCGTTGAAGGTGAACTAGTACTGGTTCAACTTCTTTCTTCTGCAAATCCTTTTTCTGGTGTTCAAAATGATAAAATGGATCTACCAGCTTGTCTTTGTCTTCATCACCAGGAAGTTCTAATGTCTCAGTATCCTCAATATCAAACACCTCAGTTTTTCGCTAAGCCCCACTAATGATCACATACTCACAATTTTTCGGGCCTATCCGAATGATGATCTCGTGTTTACAGCGAGCAGACTTCATGGGTTTAATTTCTTGTTCTTGTTGAAGTGGATTAGATGCTTCAAGTTTGATTTGCTGAGGATGTCGAAACCATATTGGAGAGGTTTCCTGCGAACTGTCAAAGCAAGATGCTTTCAGCAACAATGCCTAATTGGATCAAGAGCCACACCCAGAAGCACTCAAAAAATCCATTAATTATGTATCTGGTTGGAGAATCTGATCAAAAATTGGCGGAAGGAATTTCCTTGTATTCAATTGCAGCAAATATGCATGGAAAACCATCAATTCTTGGTCCTTTAATGACAGAGCATGCAAAAGGAAGAAATGATAAACCTGAGGTTGTGAAAATCGGATTGGGGTTCATCTGCAGCAATGACCACTGCTGTAGTTGCAGCTTTATTTCATTACTTTGGTGTTGTAAACCTTTCTGCCTAGTCTAAATATTCACACCAACAAAATATGGATTTCACGGATCTCGATGTGGTGCATAGGATAGCTTAAAGTGCCCATTGTATTGCATAAGGAAAAGTTGGCAGTGACGTCGATGATGAAATTTTCGATTGAAGCTTGAAATTTTTGCGTGAGCTTGATGATTCAAGTAAGGATTTGCGCTCAAACCTGACGCAGGGTTTTTTATTTTATTTTATTTTTTTAATTATTTTTTGATTTTATTTTTGAAAAAAAAATATTTCTGTGGTATTTTTGAAAAAGAAAAATAAAAAAAAAGAAAAAAAAATTTTCAAATAAAAAATCTTTGTTTTCAAAATAATAAAAAATAAAAAATTGAGAGGTTTTACTTTTTTTTTTATAAAATAAAAATTAATAAATCCGACAACGAAATTTTTTCAGAGTAAGACACTAGTCTCTATAAATATTTTTTAAATAAGAATTATTTTAAATTGGTACCAAACTATTAAAACAATTTTAAGATTAATTTTCAATACTAAATTATATGATAAAGCATAAAAAATTATGATCAAGTTTGGATAATTCAAAATCAAACTGATATCATCTTTTGAATAAACGTTTTGAGGTTGCTACAACAATTTTTATGCACAATTGATGGTCAATCACACCTAAATAGATTAGTGACAACTCATTTTTATTTCAAATCTAATGATAAGTCTATAGATTTATATATTATAACAAAAACTAATTCACAGCACGCTAATGTTAACCAAAGCTGAAGAACCCCAAAACAACTAAGACGTCAAAGTCAAGGTCAAGGAAATAGAAGAAACAAAAAAAAATAAGTCATGGTAAGAAGCAGAAAAAAATCGAAGAAAGGAAAGAAGCGTACTCTAAAAAGTCACTTCAAGCTTTTAAGCTTGTATATACTTTTGAAAAGAATTTTTTAAAAATTTATGAAAGTCGCACCTAGAGGCTGGCATACACATTCATATCAATTGAACCAAACCCTTAAGCCGGTCACATAAATATAAAAAATATATTTTAATCAGCTCATTTTTCTACAAATGCATTATTCTACTAACAATTCAACTAACATCTACATTAGGGTTCCTCTTTCTCGCAAGAAATAGTCTTGATCTAATTGAACAAAAGAAAATCATTGATCAAAGGCCTGAAATAGATGTTAGCTGACCAAAACCTACAAAAGACCTCATTATTGTGCCGTTTTACAAAAATAACACTGACAAATGTATGCAAATCAGGGCTAAACTCGAAGATAAAGAACCAATAATCCAACTTTTAAGAAATAATGCCATCTTGTTTGCATGAACCCCATCTAACATGCTTGGGATAGATCCTATGGCGATGGTCCACAAGCTGCACACTAACCCAAACATGAAACCTCTTCAACAAAAGAAGAGAACCATTACCCCAGAAAGATAGAAAGTAATTGAGAAAGAGGTCGGTTAATTGCTAAAACCTCTCTTCATTAGGGAAGCATAATACCTTGAGTAGATTACCAATATCATCATGGTGAAAAAATATAGTGAAAAAATGAAAATGTGTTTTGATTTCATTAATTTCAATAAATAATAGCTTTCCTCGGCTCAAATAGATCGACTAATAAAAAATAGTGCCAAACATGATCTATTCACCTTTATAGACGCATATTCAAGCTATAACCAAATCAAAATGCTGAGAGAGGATGAGGAGAAAACAACGTTTGTGAAAAAAAAAGGCTTGTACTATTACAAGGTAATGCCTTGTGGCTTGAAGAATGCAGAGATGACCTATCGAAGCCTAATTAATTAAGTCTTCAAGGATCAGATCAGCCATGTCAAACTATATATGGACGCCATGATTGTCAAGAGCAAAATTGAAAATATAATGACAGATTTCAATATTGACATGTAATATGATGACAAATTTGACCTTAATCATAAAAATTATAAATAAACAAAAAATTTGAGAAATCTTTGGTGCATCAAATAATAATCCATGTAATAAATCCCAAAGAAGTAGCAATTGAAAATTTCACACTGAAAATGTCAACAAAAATGTCAAAACATATATATATACATAGCAAGAAAATGACAGCAGCAGCCACCGTTATTGAAATCTATTTCAATGGAAGTTGCACTTTGTACGTTTCACGTGTTCCCCTTTCTTTACCAAGTCAATCCTTGGGAAACCTACGGTTTCATCAATCTTACACACCATAATATAACAAAAAAATGATATAAAAAAATGACACGAGTTAAAATTTTGATAAAAATATCAGTTTGTCAAAAATAATATATATATATTTCATATTTATCATGTTAACATGAATTATAGTTAAAATTTTGATAAAAATATCAGTTTGTCAAAAATAAAAATATATATATATATATTTCATATTTGTCATGTTAACATGAATTATAATATTATAATTTTTGTATTTTACAAGTATATGACACAAATAATACGAAACATATACAAATTGCCAGATCTAGTTTCATAAGCAAAACCCTCTTTCTGCATCTTTTTATTCTCAATGATATTTTCCCAAAACATGTCCGGTACAAGAAAGGAACACAAGAAAACATAGAACAACAAACAACTTTGTTTAGAACATAAAGAAATACAATATGCAGAATGGCAGTCTGCTTAGCTTACAATAAGGAGAAAAGAATTAACAAAACATATCTGTTGATGAAGAAGGCCTCGCCACCTGAAGAGAAACTGGATCCCATTCATCTTTCCCGCAATAGCCATTTTTAACTGCAACAAATTCTAACTGATTTGCATCACCAACAGAAACGGAGGACTCCTTGATACCTAATTGTTTTTCTGCTACAGCTTTCAATCGATATCTTTCTGCCCTAGAGCCGATAACCTGTCCTAATACAGATGCTGCTATGGTAAAGGCCATAGCTGTCTTAGGCATCAAGACAGATTTCCTGAGCATGGCTATGAATGGAACAGCTGCATGGACAGCCACAAACCAAGATGGTGAGAATTTTACAGTGTGTTCCCTCCATATCCCTAAAGGAACATTTGCTGCCATGCCTAACATCCCAATCACCAGTACTTTTGTAGGCAAGGATTGAGGGCGGAGATTCTTGGCAAAAGCAGTTTGTGCCAGTGCTGCCCGGGCTGCAACCACTGCAGGTGGGCACCTGAATTTCATCCCCGGAGGTGGCTGAAAAACCTTCGCAACAAGTGGCAAAACACTGCTAACTGCCCTATACGACTTTGCTATTGGACAGTTCCCATTTTGCAGCCATTCATTGCCCAATGCTTCATGATTGGAATTTCCTCCCTGAAACATCAGCATAAAAAGATGTCAAAATAATACTCCAAAATTTTAAGACATTTGATGATTATTCTAAGTTTAAAAACATAGATGTTCAATTACCTTTGAAGAAGAATCCTTCTTTGATGGTTTTGATTTTCCTTTCTGATTATTCCACTTATTAGAAAATGCATCAAAACTGAAAGGCCCTCCCGGTCCAAAGGATGAAAGACTAATGGTGGCTGCTTTGGCAGCCAAAGGATTGAACTTGGGTGGGGTTGTTTCAGGCTCAGCTTTCTCAGTACGCAATGAAGTTCGTCCAGATAGTGGAACTACTCCATCGTGTCCATGGAAAAGCTTGAATGCCATATCGAAATTGGGTCCATCTTCAAATATTGGACCTTTGGCTCCTCGTACCTTAGGCAAAGAAGTAAAAACCTAATAAGAGCTCAATAAAACACATGATGGGAGAAGCATAATGATCATGATAGACACAACATCATACCGGCATGGGGAAAGACATGGCGGATGAGAGGGAAAAGTTAGTTGGCTCATTAATGTTTCTCAAAAATGGACATCTAAGGATGTCCATTTGCGAAGATGAATCCTCATTTAGGCCTCTAAAGAAAATTTCCATTTTGGAGGTAACCTGCACAAAAACATAAATCTGTTAAATAAAATCTTAAAGAGCTAAGAGTAAAATGACTCACCAAATATTAAACAAGTTAGCAATCAACATAAAAATTATCAAACTCTAAATAAATCAACAGTTAATCTTAATAATCCCAAAGCAACGATATATCATAAAACACAAGCCACATATCTAAACAACTTCAATTCATATTCGACAAAGCGAAAGATAGATTCTAGAAGCCATAAAAACATACAGAAAAGACTAAACCCCTATAATTACATCTCTTAGCATCCAAAGAACCATGCATGTACTCATAAATCAGGACCATATACAACCATCCTTAACAATGAACCGATTTCAGTTGATCACAGAATAAAATCAAACACGTTGATCAAATTAAAACACTCCAAAACAAAAGGAAAATGTTGAAGCTTTTAAACAGCAGACTACGGAAAACATTATTAAAGTTTCAATCTCAACTCTATCAAACACATGGAATTTACCAAATCACTCCTGAATGAACATTAAAGCTCACAAATTACCCAACAAATCGATGAGTCGATCTTAAACCAAAATCAAACACATTTCAAAGAAATTAAGAATAAAGACTGAAGCTTTTAAAAAGAATAGTCTCACATAGAATCAACAAAAGAAAAATCTCAGAAATTACTACCAAAAAAATCCCTGATTACTCGACAGATCCGTCACAGTTAAACCGTTAGAATTTCAAATATAAAACCTAAAAAAATTACATTGGAATTAAACCCAAAAAAATTGAAAAACAGTAAAAAAAATGAAAAAAGGATCAACCCATCAAAGCCAGGGAACCTAAAATCTAAACAACCCATCTAAGAATTCGAATAGATAAAGCGATTGAAATCAACAGGAAGCTAAAAAAACGCATTACGAGCAATTAAATTAAGAAAAATCTATCACCAAACAACCCAGGAAAAAGAAAGCCAAAAGAATCCGTACCTTTTCTCAGCTAGCGATGATCAAGGAAAGGAAAAGAAGCAAAAAATAAGGGACTTTGGGAGAGAAATCCAAGGAATGGAAACAAAGAAAGGAATCAAAGCAGAGAAAAGAGTTAGGTGTCAAAGGAGAGAATTTAGAATGGAGGAAGACGATTTGGTATTGCTTTAGTTACAATCACAATAAGAAAAATAAAGTATTTTTTGAGGAGGGAACAAGAGAGAGAAAACGACGTCGTGGTAAGCACACGCCGTTTGGGAGAAGGGGTTGGTCAACATTTGCGTGTGGCGACCATAGGTGGACAGAGTGGCCATAGTGGAAATTAATTTATGAATTATTATTAATTTATTATATCATAATAATAATAATAAAAGTAAAAAAAAAAGTTATTTATTTTTAGGTATCCAAATATTTTTCTTATATAAAATTAAAAAGAAAGGTAAAGTTTTTTTTTCTTTTTTAGGTGAAATATAAATATTATGAGGTGTTTGTTTTTATACATTATCACTAAATTTTTTAAACCACATATCTCATTTATTTTTGAAATTATTTTTTATTTTTAATATACATAAAAAGGATATTTATTTTTAAAAATAGAAAAATATTCGCTAAATTGTTAATTTTTTAATATATATTCAATTATTTTTTTACCAAGTATATTCATTTATTATTGAATCAAATATTAATATATTTTTTATTATTAAATTTTTGAATCAGATAAATTAAGACTATTTATTTTTTATTGTATTTTAAATTTTCAAATAATGAATTTAATGGTTCAGAGAGAAAATGATGAACTTTTGTTATATTTTAAATTATTAATTTTTTGAGAGAAAATTAGTAATTTATCAGTCCTGTGATTTATGATTCTGAAAACCTCTTCTTCTTTTTTTTAATTGGAAAGATTTAAAATTAACTCTTTAAAAATCATACCCTGTTATCCATCAAATTCTTATGTAAATTAAAAAAAATGC